GTCTTTGGGTAACGCCATATTAGATGCCATGTTTCCGTCTACGGGAGCCCATGAGGACAAAATGCAATTACTGATTTTTAACAAATGGTTACAAAGCTTTCGTCATTCTTAAATGTTGTTGTTTTACACAGTTACCGCTTCCCTTGTTGCCAGTGATCAAAGGGAGTCTGATGTGCTTTTTAGTTTGCTAAAGCTTGCACTCCGCAGGGATTTTTGACCCTAATGAGCATCCGTTGGTAAGGTCTTACTCCAACACAACAATACTGCTTGCAACAATTTAGGTATCTACTGCCCCCTATTGCCAGGAAAAATACACACAGTCACTTTAAAAAGTGTCTCCAATTCTTCTCGACTGTTGTAAACGACTCACAGCAAATTTACTTTGAAATTGTTTACATTTTCTTTGAGAAGCAGAAGTCAGCAGAGGAATGGGTAACTTTTGTATGTGTTTTGGTTGCTCTATTGCAAAAGTCTGGCTTCTTCTGGCATCACCCTGTAGTACGTGCTGGGGACCGGGGCTCATTCTCATTGACTGACAGCTACCTCATATGGGTATGCAAATCTATTGGTCACCGCTCTAGGTTAAAGTAAATAATACATTTTTTGAAGGGGCCAGGGGAGAGACTTAGGGGAAACAAATTCTGAAAGATATATTTTTTGTTTTTAAATCATAGAACAGGGTCAGATAGTAAACATTTTTAGCATTTTCTTTAAAGAGCAAGTCACCCCCTACCAGAGTATTGCTCCACTCCCACATCCTGTTTGAAAAATGCAACAAATGCTGTTGACTAGCAGACCGAGAGGGCGAAGCCGCTAACAAATACACACACACACACACACACACACACACACACACACACACACACACACACACACACACACACACACACACACAGGCTCACAACGACACTGTGACATCATATGGTACCAGCTAACATTCTAGGGTACCTCTTAGCCAATAGCGAGAGTATGCAGAGTATTTACCAGACAACTGTCACACCCTGTCTTGTCTCCCCATTCTGTTCTGTCATGTGTCTCTGTTAATTGCTCCCACCTGCCTCTCGTTTTCCAATCACCCAAGCTCCCAGCCCTCATGTATTTAAACCCCTTCAGTTCTGTGTCTCTTGTCGGTTCATTGTTTCTATGTCCAGCGTGCTTTATGTTAAAACTCTTCCAAAACCGTTCCTGCCTGTCTGCCTGCCTTCCTCACCCGCATGTGGATCCTTGCCTCCGCTTCACTCACCGGCACGCGCAGACAACAACGGCACAACACTGACAGTTTTAGGCAGAAAATTACAATTGTAACTAAAATGCACTAAAGTGCAAAACTATTGACTACACGTGTCTGCAGCACGATTACACACACATTTATATAGTTTATCAGGAAAAAATGTTGATTTGGGGATGACTTGCTCTTTAAGTTACTATAAAATTTTAAACACTGTGGCCTACTCAATTCAATTCAATTCAATAATTTATTTAACTCAAAGTTTAAATATACAAACTTCAAATCAGAATATAAGCATTCGAGTGAAATAGGGGGAGGAAGAAGAAAAAATCTTATATGACCTTCCCCCTTTAACTAAGACAAGATAAATAACAAAAAGTACAAAATAGCCTTATACACAAAAAATAAACCGCTCTCTTACTTCCACAAATAATATCACTACTAAAACATTAATCCTCCATCCTCAACTCACCAAATCATACGATTTTAGCATTTTATCTTTATACATTTTTTTGAATTGATCAGTAGTTGTACATTTTTTTAATTCATCATCCAGGTTATTCCATAATTTCACACCATATATTGAAATACACATTTGCTTTAATGTAGTACGAGCAAATATCCTTTTAAACTTTGGTTTCCTTCTACTCTTATCATTTTTTGGGATTAAAACAAAGAACCTTTGTAGATTAGTTGGCAGCAAATTATTTCTAGCCTTAAACATAATTAGTAAAATTTTCAAGTTAACTAAGTCTTTGAATTTCATAATTTTAGATAGAACAAAATATTTGTTAGTATGTTCTCTTGGATTTGCTTCATATAGAATTCGCAAAACTTTCTTCTGTAACAGAAACAAAGGATTAGTGTTTGTTTTATACGTATTGCCCCAAACCTCAACACAAGAAGTTAAGTATGGTAAGATAAATGAGTAATATAATGTCTGAAGCGTTGAAATTTCTAGAAAACCTTTGACTTTGTTTAAAATTCCAATACTTTTGGATATTTTTTGTTTTATATATTTTATACGGGATTTCCAAGTAAGTTTATGGTCCATGAGAACCCCCAAGAATCTGACTTCATTTACTCTATCGATTAAAAAACCATCAATAGACAACGTAACTAAATCATTAGTTTTTCTGTTACCAAAAACCATGAATTTTGTTTTATTCCAATTGAGAAATAATTTATTGTCATTAAACCACTTCTTAAGTTTAGACATTTCACAAACCATATTTTGAATAATAATTTCTAAATCATTTCCAGAACAAAATATATTCGTGTCATCAGCAAACAATATGAACTGTAATACTTTGGACACATCACAAATGTCATTTATATATAGAATAAAAAGCTTAGGGCCCAACACTGACCCCTGTGGGACACCGTGTGCAGTCTCTAGTGAATCTGAAATTTCATCATCTAACTGTACAAATTGATTTCTATTGGTCAAATAACTACTTAACCAGTCATGGGCGATTCCACACATCCCATAATCCCTCAGCTTCAGTACCTAAAAACAAAGGCATGAACAGATTGTTTATATCGATAAATGAGAGTAAATCACCAAACTAATTATGAAAACAAATCCTCAGTTTAAACTGCTTTCAGTGAAACGTTTCAAGCAAGCTTGTTTGGCAGTTTGCCATTGTAGCTTTAACGCATGTAAATAATTCCTTTGATGTCCATCACAGCAAAAGACACGCTCCCACAGGTCTTGTTGTGCCACATGCCAAGAATCAATAGATAACACACATGTTACCTTTTTTTAAGAGGAGAACTCAACATCCAGTCGTTGTCATTATAAAGGTACACTACATGTATTCTGAGTAAGTGACTTTGGACGAGAAAGAAGAAAAGGGCTCACGATGAAGAGGTTTTAAACTTGTGTTTACACGACATATAACATTAGTGTTACTCTTTACCCCACAGTGCCTTCCACTTGTCAAAGGAATGCGATGGACACTCAAAGCGATAAAACAGTTTGCTGTGATTTGGGACTTGGTTCCATCCACCCACATGACTCACACACTATAAAACGTGACAGGATGATGTTTCAGCCACTGAACAGCCTTTGTGCTTTTTAGATTTGTGGCTGCTCGGTTCTGCATGGTCGGCGTTGTCCTGGTGTCAAAGCGTCTAACGGCTCTATGAGTCAGGAATAGCGTCATAAAGGCCATCAGCCCAAGGAGGATGTGTGTGTGGATTGTGGGTAAGGAACTGTTTTATGGTTTGAAGCGGTGACCGCATCAGGAGCCACAGTGAAACGATGCGAGCACAGAGGTTAGAATGACTCCAGGAAATGTTCTCTCAGGTGATCAGTTCAACCTGTAACTCATGCAGCTTTGGTGTAACGATGACTTCACTTGTTCATACGTTCTCATTCTCATGGAATTACCCACGGTTACTGGAAGATATCATTCAGTAAAACTTGTTTTTATAGGAGACAGAACAATCAAGCTTCAGGATAATGGTAGAGTCGAAACCAGAAAGAAACAGAGTAGAAAAATATTTTGTTTTCCCACATTGGAGAAATGTTGGCGTACCAGCAGCAAGTAATGCAGGACTTTACACAAGAATAAGACACAGTTAATAAAAAATCAAGTATGGCCCATCCCTTTAGTGTGTGGCATGGCTTCAGGTAACAACAGTGGAAGGTGGTTAACCTACGGACACAGTCCCAAGACCTGAAAGCTGTGCAGATGTTAGTGGTTCCCTCTCAGAAAAAACAGGCCTGGACCGAGGAGGTGTCCTGAAAGATGAAACGCATCAAATTATTTGTTAATCTTTATTTTCTTGTAAATGTTTTGACACGTTTAGTTGTACAAGTGCAATACCAGACGTTACATGTGAGTGCTGAAGGAAACCTCAGTGGTCTATTCTTCAGGGCTGACCTGAGTAGGTTCTGTATGGATCCCCGGAGCATGATTCACCCCGTACGTACCCAGGGCGTGCCCCGTCGGTACAAGACTGTGTGATGTACTGCTGTTGCGACTGGAATCTGTTGGCAGTTGATTATTTCTCAGACCACAGGGAAAAAACACTTGTGTGCCTTTCTTATTGGCAGTGACATTACGAGTTGACGTGACGTTCTCTAAGGTGCACAGTCTCAGGAACCTGATGCTGTTCTCCCTCTCAACCCTTCCCTCATGAATACAGACTGTAGTCCTCAGGCTGGGATCGTCTCTGGTGTTTGCAGTATTCTCTGTAAACCCTTTTATGGGGTTCGCACCACAAGTGTGAGTGTCTGATACGAGAACTGCTCAAAGACACAAGAAGACACTAACTGGTGGTTAGAGTCAGCCAAAGCTAACAAACAAAAACAAGAGGGGAGGAAAAGAGCAAGGGAACAACGAAGGACACCCAGCCCAAGAGCCGTCGCCATCTTTTCCATAGGCAGATGATTGAGCAGCTTCAGAATCTAGACACCAATGCTAAGCAACAGCTTACTTCCTGCAGCTGTGAGGTCATGAACTCTCTCCCTTGGGTGCTCCTCCCTTTTTTCACAACAATAACATTTCAGATGTTATTCATGACTGCTGTTCCGTTTTTCTGTGTCCGTGTTGGCTAGCCCGACTGACGCAACCTGTTACCCCGACTTTGTTCCATGTTGCTGGGATAAATCAATCTGAATTCTGAATGTAATTATTTGTTCTCATTCATTCTCAAGAGACCTTTGCAGCTCAGTGGCACGGGAGCATCACTGTTGTTGTTTGTCTGACACCTCCTCACCTGTCTGCTCATTTAGTCTGGCTCTGGTTTCCCTCCCTCACAGAGAGGAGCTGACAAATCATGGGGAAACACAACAGCAAGCTAGCCCCTGAGGTCCTCGATGACCTGACCAAGAGCACCGAGTTTAATGAGGCGGAGCTGAAGCAGTGGTACAAAGGCTTTCTGAAAGATTGTCCCTCTGGCATCCTTAACCTGGACGAGTTTCAGCAGCTCTACGTCAAGGTGAGAGCGACATGCAGCAGCGGGGGTGGAAAACATGGTAATTGATTGAAAACGGTGGTGACTGCTCGTCATTCCTAACAGATTTTTGTTTAAACTGATATCTGACTCGTACGTTGATTTCACAGTTCTCATTGTCAAAGGTCAGCTAGCTTCTTCAACATTTCAGCTCCCATTTGCAACAGTTTTTAAATGTTTATTACAAATTAATTTGTAAAAATCCGTTTCTGAATAACACAAAGACCAGTTAGGGCTGTAGCTATAACTGTGGCAATTTTTTTACTTCAATTTCTGTTTTGAAACTCGACCAAATTCCCTTTTTCTCGCATTCTTTCTTAATTGCAGTTAGTTGTTATGTCTTATTGTTACGTAACAGATCACCTAAATCAAAGCGCCAACACCCAGATAACAACGAATGAGCTGTTTCTAATACAGAACACTGGTTAAGAAAAAATAATGAGCAAGACTCCAAATCCTCCCATTTTCTGCCTCCTTCTGCTTCAACCCACTTCTTCTTCCTGAAATAGGAGCACCAGAGCTTTTTTTCTTCTCAGAAGGTCTCACAGGGCAGTTATTTATTCAAATGTATTGAAAAAATAAACAAGTGAACTTGCAAACCTTTTAATTTATGCGCCTGATTAATTCCTTGACTCACTTCACCTTAAATGGGAAATATCGAGCAAAACTCTACTTTTGCTTCACTTTGTGCTTTCATGTGGGTCTCTACTGCCTCTACAAACACTCCAAATGTCATCAACCCACCCATCAGATATTTGTCAGCGTTTGGATTTGGGAATTATTAACCCAAAACAAGCAGTTTAAGAAAGTCCCCATTTGTGACATCACAAATGGGGACTTTCTTAAACTGCTTGTCGCGCCTTGTCAGTGGAGGCAGAGAGATGCAGCAAACGAGCGTCAGCTCCTCTCACGACACAAAACAGGCTCTCTGTATCCAGTCTGTGACTCCCGATGAGACCTTGTGCCGAACTCCAGTACTCGCTCCAGAGTCCGTCGTCAGTCCTTTCTGGAGCTACTCGGGCTCGTTCGATCTTCTGTGCAGTCCTCGGTTCTGTTTCCGATCTAGCTGCTGAGCAATCCTCCAACTCTAACTGTTAGTTGGTCCTTAAGTAGTTTGGACGAAAAAATGCCAGCCGTGGCGTCTGTGGGCCGCTTGAGAAAACCCCAAAAGCCTCTGGGACAAGTCAGACCTGGCAACTGCTAACCCCAGCACTGCAAGTCCAAACTTAGCGGCCGATCTCAGATAGATGAGCGGCCCGTGGCGGCTTCCACTGCCCCCCTCTCTCTCTCCAACGTCTTTCTCAACTCCTCTCTCTTCTATATAACAATATCGTTACCCCTAAACAGCCACATGTAATGAAACATAACATTTACTGAACTAATTGAGACAGAAAACAGCACAAGTTAGCTTTAGATTAGAAACAAATTAATGAAATCATCACGTTTTCAAACATTAATTTGCATTTTATGAATTCTTACCTAAAAACAACCACATTTTATTTTAATGATTAAATAATTGTTTAATAATTTGGCCAAGGATCCAGCTTAAATGACTCATTCTGGAAGATACTGAAAAAGTAAAGAATAACGTTATAATGAAATTGCTTTGTATGAGAGGGATTTAGTGCAACATCATGCACATGTTTTGTAAGAATCAAGAAAGTTTATCATTACAATCTGCTTTAAAAACAAATTAGCCTTCATAAAAACTGCACGATGTTGAGTATTCGAACGCACCATGTGCTGTTTTCCTATGATCTAAATGTTTGATGTTGTAATACTGTGCACCTGTAGCACAACGTAAGGCCAGGGACACATCTGGAGCTTCCTGCCTGGAGTTGAAGTGGGAATAAAACTTGCGCTACATCAGTGGCATCGAAAATGGCCTAAGGGGTTGGGGTGCTGACTCTGGTGGTATTGTTGTTGTTCAAAGGTGTAAACATCAACGCTCAGTTTTAGAACTAAACCTCTGAAGTGTATTTTCTTTTTCTTCTTTCTAGTTTTTCCCTTATGGCGATGCCTCCAAGTTTGCTCAGCACGCGTTTCGAACCTTTGACAAAAACGGCGATGGGACCATTGACTTCAGGGAGTTCATCTGTGCCCTGTCCATCACCTCCAGGGGCAGCTTCGAGCAGAAACTCAACTGGGCCTTTAACATGTACGACCTTGATGGGGATGGGAAAATCACACGCATGGAGATGCTGGAAATCATTGAGGTGAGTGTTGGCATTGTGAAGATTACATGCTTTTATAATCAAACTGCATCTGAAGTTTGCTTCCCTTTCCTCTGCTGCAGGCCATCTACAAGATGGTTGGCACCGTGATCATGATGCGTATGAACGAAGATGGGCTGACTCCTCAGCAGCGCGTCGACAAGATCTTCTCCAAGATGGACAAGGACCACAATGACGAGATCACCCTGGAGGAGTTTAAAGAGGCGGCCAAATCTGACCCTTCCATCGTCTTGCTGCTGCAGTGTGACATGCAAAAGTAGAAGGGGAGGGAGGAGGGCTATGAAAGGGGATGGGGTGGGAGGGAGGAAAGGTTGGGGAAACAGAGCAAAATAGAAACCAGGGCAGGGAGGAGGCTGAGGAAACTGTGAGGTGGGAGAAGAAAGGGAGGGATGCAGCTATTTGGAGGAGAGAGAAGCACCGATGAGTGGAAATGAGCCAAGCTTGAAGGAGGTTGATGCTATTTTCTTCACCATGCTGTCCTGCTGTGCAGCTGCTTTAACATGTACAGGTGTCCCTCTTGGTCCGTTTGACACAGATCAAGTCACTCATGCGCTCACGCTGCCATGCTCTGTGGCTCACCTGTAAGAATACCAGGCTGCAGGGTGGCATCCCTCAGTGATTGCCAGAGGGATTCTGATTTTTCATCTGTTGCATCCACGTTGGGGATGGCATCAAGCAAACTAACTTGTTCATTAGGAAAGTCATGAATTTTTACTAATTTAGAAGGAAATGAGCAAATGTTCAGTGTGTTTAACTGTCTGTAATATGCCGATGAGCAGAGATGTGTATGCATTTGGTTGGTTCAGGAGAAAAATACTCTAATGAAGCACTTTGTTGTTAGCATTCATTCAACCTGAAGTCAGATTTCCCGATCAGTTTTGTGGAGCGTTTCTGTTAGCGTTGTTGTCCATCTGCTTCATTCTTCAGACACAGGACGGGCATCAGCATAGAGAGGCCGCACCCTGATGAGATTCATACACAGAAAGTCAATATTTAATCAAAAATGATTAACTAAGACGTGTCTGAGCCCCTCTTCATAGCTGTGTGTAATTTGAGACAGCTGACGCCATCTTGTTGATAGGAAAGGGGAGGAGATGCATCACTGGTAGTCAGGAGAATGGAAGACATGTTTATTATAAGATCAGTGTATCTCAATCATTCTGCAGAAGCGTAACGCAGGGGGTGGTGGTGGGGTTCAGCTGTTAGCTTGACATCAACTTGAGTCTCCATTTAGTGGAGGTTGTTTCTCAGAGGAACGTTGAAGGACGGGTAGGGAGGCGTGACTGAAGTTGGCATGAGGTATGATGGATGAGCAGGTGAGTTAGTCACAGAGGATGTGGCTGGTGCCTCGGGGGTTTCAGCAGTCTCAGAGGAGAGGTTCTCGCGAGGAGCTAAAGCTGCAAAACAAGCTAGCTAACACAAACACGCTAAAAAACTGTCACACCTTCCACCAGCCGTCATCCCTGTAGGCCACGTCCACCTGAAATCAGAACATTGCCTGAGGAAACGAAATATCGCTAAACACCAGTCAGTTTTCTACCTCCAAACGTCTTTCATTGTTCATGACTTCTAATGGTGTTTGTTTTTGGGACTCTGGTAGTTCGTCCTAAAGTTGAAGCGGTAGCAGCCGACTGTTTCTCCTCCTCTGATGAGTGGAGAACCTCTCACACCAGTAAATGGTTTGCATTTGTATAGCACCTTCTTAAGGTTCCACAACCCCCACAACAAAATCAGTCATCCACCCATACACACCCATTTACACGCTGGTGGTAATTGGCTATCATGTAGCTACATCTTCCCTGGGGTGCACTGATGGGAGCGAGACAGCCAAGCACTGGCGCCATCGCTCCCTCTGACGTCCACCAGGCTAGGTGGGTTAAGTGTCTTGCCTGATGACACAACAGCAGCCTTCTCTGGCCGGAGCTAAAGTTGAACCTATGACTTCTGTTCATGGACAACCCACTCTACCGCCTGAGCTACTGCGGCCCCAAGTTGTGTTCTGTTGCTAAACACGAGCGAGCATGATAAGTGGAAACCCCGGGGAAATGCGGAAGTGCAGCAGTTCCATGAAACTGACGACCAGATGGTGCAATTGTTGGTTTTGGTCCAAGCCGTGTCATTAGCAGAGGTTTTTAGACAAATGCGAGAGAACAACTTTATTGTCCATTTTTTTAAATCTCCACAAACACCAGCCTGTAGCTCCGGTTGGCCTGCACCGGTCCTCATCGGACTCATTCAGCAGGCCTGAGTCTGAAAATGCTATGAACGAGTAATTCCCCAAACTGGTGTCAGGATCGCACTCTGGGTCACCAAGAACCACACATGTGGTCTTAACCAATGATATTCTCTTCTTTCTTCTTCTTCTAAGATAATTTCTCAAAATCAAAATAGAAAATACTAACTAACTAGTCAATCAAACGGTCCCAAATTAATGTAGGAAGATATGAGCTGAAGGAGTTTTCTTTATGCTCTGAATTGTTTAGCTTTGTAAGCATGTTTGTTTAGCCAGAGGTCTTGATAATTGGTCTTTTGTGGGTCTGAAGATGAAAAACGTGAGAACCACTGCCCCTAAACACCAAATTCTTGTGTACTTAGAGTAGATATGTATTCAGTTTCAGTGACAACTAGAAGAAAGTGGGATAAACCGGAACAGACAATTACACGTGATCATTTCCCTCATTTTTTATTCTAGCTGGATGTTTTTTTCTTCCTCAACTGAAGATGTTTCCTCCCTAAACGCTCAGAACAAGCCTCCATTGTGAGATAGTGTATTAAAACCTACATGTACATTAAAACATGACTTTAACTGTATCTATGAGTATATAAGATGTAAATGTACTATTAGTGCGTGCAAGAGTGAATGTATGCCTGCGTCGTGTTTCTGAATAGACATGAGTAGTCATGAAAGGTGTGTGTGTGTGTGTGTGTGTGTGTGTGTGTGTGTGTGTGTGTGTGTGTGTGTGTGTGTGTGTGTGTGTGTGTGTGTGTGGCTCTGGTGCGATTGTTCAGTGTTTTGTATTTGTATCATTGTGTAAGTCGAGCTTAATTTTGTAAAAAAAAAAAAAAAGATAAATAATTGGGAGTAAACATTTCCCTCATTTCTGTTTACATCATACAATGTCAACCCCGTGGAACTTGTTTTGTTCACCTCCTGTCGTAAATGTCAGCCCTGACTGGTTGTTATCTGGTCCAACGCGGGAGAAGAGCGCTGCCGGTGTGAGGGATGGAAGTGGTAAAGATGTCGTCCTGTGTCACACTTTCACCCAGTGGATTGGAACGTTGTCACCCTTGACAATACCTGCTGTGTTTTATAGATTCAGATGAAAAATTATTTTATTTTTATTTTTAAATGCCTGTTAGAGGGATGAAAGGACAACATTTGTCACTCGGACTAGACTGAAAATGAAAAAAGTTAAAAGAACAATGCATTCATGGTTTTAAGAGCAGCTCGAGGTCAAGTGTGCATGAGCCTCGCAGCCTTCAGGAAAGGTGTTCCTCAGGGCTGTTGTCTGGGATCTGAGGCAAAAAGAAAAAGAGCAGAAATAAGCAACTTTTCAATTATTTCCTTTATTTTTTTCTTGAGCAAAATAAAAAAATAAATAAAAAGGGATGTGTGGAAAGTCACACTCATCAGCTCATACCTCAATAAATGACTCTAGAAGTGTCTCAGATCACCAATGTTTTTCTTCCATGTTTATCTTTGAAATTAAAGCAGAAGTTTGCAGTTTTTTCTCAGAGAGAACATCTAGAGTTGAAATAAATGGACTGCAACTGAAAAGCCTCTGAAAGCCACACTTCTTGTATGTGAACGTGCACCTCTAAAGCTACAACACAATGTTTGTATACAGTCTTACATTACGTTGTTCATTCATATATCTTTAAGACTTATGTGTCCGTGAGAAATGTCAGCAGCTCTGCGTCTGTTTAGGTGCATCCTCAAATGCTTACGTCTGCTCTGTGATTGACATTTGTAATGTAAGTGGATGGCTAATGCTATTGGCTAATGCTGAGCAGTGCTCAGTTTGAATTGCATGGGGCTCTATGGGACAGGTTTAGCAAAAATAAAACGGATGCGTTGCCTGCATTACATCACAGTACAGAGTGAGTATCACTTTTACCAGTTTCTAAAAAAATCATACACAGCTGCTGAAAAGGTGGAAAACTCTGGATTTCTGCTTTAAACAGTGGTGTTTAAGGTGTTCACGTACATCCATGTGGCTGTTCTCATTGCTTCTCCCTTGCTTTGTTATTGTGATCCCCTGCATTGTCGTCCCAGACACGGTTAATCAGCCAGTTTCACGTGTCTGAGGGCAGCAAAACAGTCTGACTGGAACAGATTGGCTTCGCTGTGTTGTCCGTCTTTGCTCTGTTGTACTGATTAGACTCTGTCCATCCTCATTAGTGCTCTAGTGGGATCTCCACCACTGCCAGCGCACAGTTCAGGTGACAGAAGCCCAGCACACGTGGATCTCCTGATGGCGAATGAGTTGTGCTCTGTTGTGCAACATGACGATTTGTACTTCTCATCTCTAAAATGTTCAAGTAAATGTCTATTTGTCCATCTGGATCTTATATATTCCTGTGTTACTTTTTACTTGTTTTCTAGAACAAAGGCAGTGTAATTATTTTTGTTACACAGAATAAAACACGTGTGTCAGGATGAGCTGGGTTGTCATGATTGGCCAAGAGTGCGAGTCACCGTCCAGCCATGATGCCACAGTGCTGCAGTGATGTCACCGCTCATGGTGTTGTCATGGTAACCACGCAAGGCCACAAGACAGGGAGACAAGAGTGGATGCAGACAGATACAATTTGATGAGAGGAAATGAATTTAGTGACATCTGTGGACTCTTACTCAGATGGATTTAAAAACATGGTCAGGTGACCCACCAGGATTGAGATATCGGACTTAAATAAAAGCTTAAAATCAAACTAATGTTCAGTTTTTTTTTAAATTAGAGATAACCGTTAGTGTATTTACCAAAAAGAACTGTTCCGTGCTGTCATCACATTTACTACTGCTTCTGCTGCAAGTCAACAGCTCAGTTTTACCCCCCCCCCCCCTCTTTCCATTGACCATTCACAAATCAATAGATATCTATTTTGAGCCTGTGTGCTCAGGCTTCAGCGAAAAGCAAAACTCCACAAAAGTACACACTCAAGGCCACAAGCAGCAGAGGAACTACCGTGCAACAGTGAAGGTCACAGCCAAGGTGCAGATCACACAGCAGCCACAAGGTGGAGCTGTATACCTCCTGTCCAGCTGGCACACGAACACATCACAAGCTTTACACAGGCTGTGATACTGACCAGTTTCTCTACTGCAGTCTGTCATGAAAGCACAATGGGGCCATGACAGTTATGGAGTTGCAGATTTGATCTTAGATGGGGACATACACGGTTTGAATTATGGGGGGGGGGGGCCTGCTCCGCCAAAACAGCCTACCCTGGAAGCCCTTAACTGGCATGCCCAAGGGGCAATATCTTGTGTGAACCCATATTTTATTTGTATGATGTACAGAGGTAATCGGACAGATGACCCCCACCACCCACATGATCAATACAGCAATTGTTTATCCAATTCTCCTGGGGAGTTCAAGGCTGAGATTGGGGAGCCAAATTCAGGACATTGTTTTGAAACTGATTTTAGCCTGCCTTCTATGGTTTCAAGGAAACCTCCAGCCAAACTGGCAGAGTCAGTTTCCAATAAGCTGAGCTGAGAATTTCTCCAAGCCTTTCCATTCCGAGTTTTGAATCAGCAGGCAGTGTGCTGCTCAGGGCATCAATTCAATTCAATTCAATTCAAAAATACTTTATTAATCCCAGAGGGAAACTGATTGCTGTAGTAGCTCAGAATAATAATAATAATCAGGCCATCAAAGAGTTGTTGTACATCACAATGGCTGTTGGCAGGAAGGATCTCCAGTAGCGGTCAGTGTTGCAGCCAAACTGAAGAAGCCTCTGACTGAAGACACTCTTCCGTTGTCGGACAGTCTTGTGAAGAGAATGCTCAGGGTTGTCCGTCATTTTCTTGCAAGTTACCTCATATAAAGCATGAAGTCACATTACGGCACAACACATCTTCATTAAAGGCCCCGTGTGTGAAATCCATTGAAATCATGATGAAAAAATGCGACTCTTTAGCGCCATGCAGTCCAGACAAAGTATTGCAGCCACGGTGGCTCACTCATGAATTTGATTTATAATCAGTTTCCAACCTGAGTAGCATAACCCACCGAAAGCTTAAATAAACGATAAACGACCTGCACTTGTATAGCGCCTCTCAGAGTAAGGACTCCGAAGCGTTTTACACTACAGAGTATCATTCACCCATTCACACACACATTCACACACCGGTGGTGATGAGCTACGATGTAGCCACAGCTGCCCTGGGGCGCACTGACAGAGGCGAGGCTACCGATGTAGCTCCTGTCCGGAGCCAGAATTGAACCTGCAACCTTTCGATTACTGGACTACCCGCTCAACCTGCTGAGCTACTGCTGCCTCAGCTAAAGCGAGCCACTCGACCTCTTTTTAAAAGCATTTATAATTATGACTGTTTTATCGACCTGCCGGCTCTGAAGGAAGCAAGCTAGTTCTGTTAGATCCTGAAGCCGTCACCATTCACACACGGAGGAGGAGTCACGTCAGCCGGGAGGTCAGGTGTTGTGAGAAATTGTGTTCCCCTGAAATATTCTGTCCCCAAGTGTCGGGAGATCGCACTTCTGGCTATTTTCACAACATTTGTGATAAACTCTTATGGTAATATGATGTAATGTAATAATGTTCTGCTTGTGATTTTTTTTATCTGTATTTCATCCTAAAAACAATATAAAGATACAGTAAAAACATTCTTGTTCAGCTTTTTGCAGCAAGCTTAATCATTTTTGAAAGTTATGTAAAAAGATGTAATCTCACTCAGTTTAACATCTTTTATTTGAGGTAGTTTAGTCCTCATAATGGACAATACGTTCTGTGGATTTGGAAACATTTGCTCTTGACTGCCTAAGGGAAACCATGTTTAAGGGGAACATAATTTCCCACAACACCCGTTTCATGCGGCTCACGGCGCCTCGATGTGAACAAGCTGGCTGCCGCTACCAGCTAATGGATATGGAGCGATCACTGGTTGCTTGTTAGCCACGGTTGGCGAGTCGGGGACATGCCGTGGAGATCAAGTAAACAATGTTTACTTAGCCACCAGCTAATTGTGGCTCACGGCTGGCGTGGTGGAGATGGGCGTCCCGAGCTACTAGTTACCGCTCGAGCCGGGGAGACGTGTATGCTGAGCGTTAACTTCCACGGATTACCAGTCAAAGGAGACCCAAGTCTAAAAGCAACATTTGACCAGCCCTCTGAGTAAGAGCGTCTCTAACACGGAGAACTACGTCCCTGTTAGTAAAGTGTTGGATATAAAGCCAACACCGATTTAGCCACTGGCTCGCGGATGAGCGCGTTGGGAGAGACAGCAGGCTGCGGGAAGACAGGAGACTTGAGGACTTTGGAACGGGATCAGGAGCTCTGGTACTAGGAAAAGAACTTGGGAGATGAGTTTGGCAGTCAGACATCAGAAGCTGGCATCCAGGTAATAGCAGGTGGGGATCATACAACTTCCGTGACATTTTATGCCTTTTGAATTGTTTTAAGTACAGCAACGGTGTAGATTTTGTCCTACTAGACTGCTTCCAGGGCGCACTGCTGCCTTTGCTGGTTCAGGTTAGTCCAAACACGTAACATGGAGCTGACACGTCTGTTAAGCTACTGCATTTTAAAATGACCTTTTGAGTGTTGACCACAGTATAGAGTTTAAGTGGTTTAGTATTTGGAATTGATTTGGGCTAGAAATATTAGGACAAGTTTGTTAAAAGGAAACACTTTAAGATTTGGGCCAGTTTCAAATCCGCTTTTCTGCTAAATGTAAAAGGACCTTTTGTGTGAAAATGTTCTTCTGTGTAAATCCAAATTTAACCTGATGAAATGTGGATTTTGGACTTCAGCAAATTCTGTCAAAAGGTCCTGCCTTTAAATTGAGCCAACCAGTTGTGTTGAGATGTTTGTGCCTTCCCTGGTGCAGCAAGTCCCTGGCACAGGCCAAACCCCCCTCCATTTCTACCAATGTCACTTTATTGAACATTTCCAAGTGCATTAAGTATTTATGGCAGAGAGTTGGTGTGTAGCAGGCAGGAAATACATACAATTGAGCACTTTGAGATTCACAGAAGACAACCCCAAGCTAGATCCCTCCCACAGGGCTGTAAAGCCCTCAAGGTGGTAGCTCCATCTACATAGTCCTGCCTCTTGGGCAGAAGTCTTAAGTTGCACTTGGACAGCCATTCTGCTACGGGTGACAATCATCCCTAGCTGCATCTTTGTCACATGAAGAGTTTGACTTGTTTTGTTTTAGTTTTTTTATTTCCAAGGTTGCCTTTCAGTTTTACTTGGCAAAAACAATATATATAAAATACACATCAGCCCAGTAGTTAGTCTTAACCACCTCACTCGCTCTTGCGATGCCACTGATGTCCAGTTCCTGAGGTCTCAGGCATGGGGATGTCTGAAAAGGTTTCTTCAGTGTATTTGTTGTCCGTACGCAGGTCTCGTGCCCTCTGGTAGCCACTGCTGGAATGGACAACATGGGATGATGGGTACACAGGGAGCTCCTCCACCATGTCGAGGGGAATATGGCCAGAGTTCCAGGGGAAGTGGACGTAGGGACGGTTGGGCCTCAGGCTCATCAGCTCAGCAACCATCTGAGCTATTCCTGCATCCAGAGCGCTGTCAGAACCAAAGCCAGGGAAGGCACTGCCACTGGTGAACTTGGATCCTGCACCAAATCCAGGGCCACCACTTTTATATCCAGATCCTGCATCTGAGCTGGCGTCGCCACCTGTAGCATACTCAGGTCCTGCACCATAGAGGACTGACCAGTGGAAGCATGGCATTAACAGGCTAACCTTTAGGAACAGTTTTTATGCCACTGTAGACCAAGTCTGATCACTTTTAGGGTCATCTTGACATTAAGAACAAGATTAAGCCTCACCTTTTCTAGCAGGGAACCCAGCTCCAAAGCTGAAGAGCAGAAAGCAGACCCAGGAGATGCTGTAGAGAGAACTGGTGTTAAAGACAGAAACTAACAATTACACACGTCAGCTAACACAAGAAGTCACCTGAGAACAGACTGAACCATCATGATGACTCTGAGATCCGCCAGCAGCACACTAGAGCAGGCCCAGCTCCACAGACTGAAGAAGCTTTGTGCTGTGACCTTCATGAGGCTGCAGCTCACCTTATATAGGTGCTCCACCTGCTCTGATTACCTTCATCAGCTTCACCTGCTGCTCGTTAGCTTTGGGGATTCTGATAGGCTCAGCTCAACATGTGATCTTTTAGTTTACAAACACAGCATGAGGAGGAAGTCTGGACACATGGTGGAAGTTTGAGTCATCTTCCAAACGGCCTCTCCACAGGTGCTGCTGCCTTATTAAGAACCATGTGTCCAGACCTCTTCCTGTTGTTGGCGCCGAGCCGTGACAAGCAATCCAGTGGCCACAAGCTGGAACAACACTCTTTTTGTTTGGGCAAACAAGTCGGAAAATTAATTCACAAAAATTGAAAAGGGCAATTTTAAAAACGATAATTATTGTTTAGATGTATTGCACT